GGCCAGACCGAAGCCAGCTGCTGGCCACATTTGGCCCATGGGCCTTGAGTTTAAAACATAGATTATAGTTTAAATAAGCGGTAGTGACATGTCAGTGTCAACTACACTAATTTGAAAATATGTTCACTTACCTAAATACAGCATTTTTTTTATAATGTGTTGAGGTATTGTTTAAATGCAACTTGCATCATATTTTCACACAGCTTTTGCAGGTATTACACTAGCTTGTTTTCACAATGATGTTAAATTAAACTTAAGATCAATAACAGCATGAAATAAATGGTTAGCTCATTACTCGGCTGGACCATTTGTCAAACTTGTGCAACTCTRGAATAGCTGTCGACATAAAATGCACACCTTGTCACCTATTTCAACCACAATCCCATTGATGTTTGTGCAAATGTACAGCTGCCGTACRGCATTAAGATAATTGAAGTATGTTACCTCTTCTGCCATTTGTCACCACTTATTGAAATAGTTGGGTCATTATGCAATTGACATAAGTCAGCCAATCTCTCAGTCATTCATTAAAGTGATTATTCACCATATGGAAATACTGTATACAGAATGTATGAGTTTCTTTTATCGATGCTGGTAATGTTGATATTTTTAGAGAGTGCAGCAGGAAAAAAAATGAAACTTTGAGGGAATCAAGCTGAGATACCCACAGGGGTGTTATGTTCACTGATTCAGGTYTCACCAATACACTTTGTCATTATAGTCTGTCTTTGCAGCTGTACCTACTGAGTTATATTTACACAGGTTCGGGTTTTATCACTAAGGCTCAGTCTCCCTCGTGATGAAGTGATGTCATCAGAGCTCCCAGGATTTGCTCCCCTGCAGTTTTCCTCCTCTTCAGTTTGATTGAACGCATCCAACGATCTGCTTCCTGACGTTTCATTATCTGAATGCTTTGATTACACAGAYGCATTGTGGTTATTTTGATTAAAGCTGCGGCTTCTTCCACCAGTTTTTGTTAAGAATATGATRGGGCTTCCAGCAGAACATGTCAGCATTTTGTAAACATTTCTGAGTGACACAGAGGGGAAAAAAAGCACATGATGCAAGTGCTGAAATGGTACATAATTTTTCTTTTCCATGTCTTCTACCTGTCCCTCTACACATCCTGTTTCACCATTTCAATATATATATATATG